AGCTCCCAGACAAAAGGTGGGATATAAATCAAGAAAATAAAATCTTCTTTCTTGCCCCTTTATCAAATAAAGGACTAATTCAAATGTTGCAAATCACATTTATCAACAACCCACTGCTGTAAATGAGGCATAGTTTTCTACTTCTAATGTTGTATAAATAATTCTTTCAGTCAATCCCTATTCCTGAAAACCCCACAAGTTTTGATACCTTGATTCCAAATTCAGGGGTTTAGACAAGAAGAACATAGGCTTGTTTAACATACAGTAATTGTTTCACAGTTTAACAGTCCTACTGATGTCAGTCCAGAATGCAACAACAATGGGGCAAGGCCAAACCACATGAGTTACATTCCAACAACAAGGCATCCTTAATCAACCCTTACTGAGCATTCTCTGAGGTATCCAGTATTTATGAAACAAGATTTTTGTTCTATTGATCTTATTTAAGGGTTATAGGAAATCAATTTCACATTGTTTAATGCAACCCTCCATTGGTTTACCAGACATGACATTGAAGCTTGTAATTCCATGATATTGTAAATAATTAATATCAATTTCATCAGCTTCCTTCAATTTCCTGTAAGGAAGATTTACTGACTTAGGAGCCACCGTTAATTATTCAAGAATATCTAATCACCACTGAAATTCAGAAGCAGCAAACGTGTCTGGATGACATAAACCAAATTAAAAAAAAAAGGTTTAATTTGAATAAACTGTCAAGAAGTGCTCTGGGATAAGTCAAACTTTTTTAAAAAATCTGAAAAAGCTATATAAATAGTTCTTCAGAATTGAATTGATTCAGTTATTAATGTTGTGAAAACACACTTCATGCAGAACACAGATCCAGATGCCATTTTTAAACTAAGGTATAACATAACCCTTTTATGGGCACACATATAAAAGTTATATCTGCAACTCAATATTTTCTATATATGTCTTGCAATGAAGCCCTAAACAAAACTGGCAGGCTAATATTTCAACAGTATGTTTCTTATGGTGCTGGGAAGTTGAGGCAAGCAAAATTTTGGTTAGACGCCATGGACGTTTCTAAACCTTTGTTGAGAGAAGATATTCAGGGACTCCTTCAGAGATTAGTAAAAAGAATTTTAAGGAAAAAGTCATTTTGGTTGCCAGAAATAATTTACTTTAGGAAAATGAAATGGTTTTTATTTCCTATTATCATTTTAAAAGTTTTCATTCTCATGCAGTGTTCTTGCATACAAAATATGAATTAAAGTTTAGATAATATAACCTTCACTGATACATTTCTTCTATATAAAAATGCCTATTTTCATTCCTGAGTTTCTTATTATAAATGTCTGATTCTGTTCTGTGAAATCAATTCATATCCCTTGAATTTCATTACTATTTCCAGAAGATAACAAGTCACACTTTCTTCTTCCTTTTTCAAAGAACTGTAATGAAAGCAGAAAAAATAATATTAACTTTTTCCTCTAAAGGTAAATAGCAAAGTGGAATGTTGCCAATGCAGAATTCACTTTTTTTTTTTTTAAATAAGCCTATCAGACACTTTATGAACTGTGAATGATGCATTTGATAAATTGTGTTTATGTTAGAGGATATTCCAGAGATGTCATAAACTGTTGCTTTGAAGAGAAGAATGCTGCTCCCTTTTTATTACTGAACATTTTATCTGTTGTTATATCCATCTTACAAAGCAAAAAACATCTACCATATACTGTATAATATGAATCAACAATTTACAATTAATTCAGTTCTGCCATTTAGGAATTCCTATGCACACTTTATGAAAGGATGATGCAAAAACCACCCAGCTCACTATCACAGTGTGATGGGGTTCTTTTTGAACTGCAGGTGTATTGTTTTTGCAAGGGTGGAAATTGACACAGAAAATAAGAGGTGGAGGCTTTTATGTTTTTTACTATATACAGTGATGTTATTTACAGCAAGTTATACAACACAGTCCCGGTGTTCACCCAGTGTCAGAGATTTCTGACTCCCTTCCAGAGGCCATCCCCCTCTAGCTCTCCTGCTTCCTCCTCCTTTCTCTCCCTTTCTGAGCTTCACAAGAGAGAGAGTAAAGAGAAAGGAATGGGCTGGAATATACTGTAGTGTGCTCAGTGTGCCTTGATTTTCTCCTGGATCTGCTCAGCCTAACTCAACCTACTGCTTCTCTGTTGGGGAAGAAACTCTCTTGGGATCTTCTGCCCAGTTCTTTCCCAGAGATCAGGGCTTCTCCACCAACTGCCAATCTCCTCCTTCTTGGGTCTTGGGTGGAGCTCTCAACCCTCTGGGTCTTCATTTCCCTTCTTCCAGGGTAGTCACCCATGGACCTTTCTTCTCCCTTCCCAACCAGGAACCAACATCTGCTCTGCAGTTAACCTCTGTCTCCAACTTTTCTCTCCAGCCACTCTGTTCACAGACTTTTTCTCTCCTCTCCTTCTCTCTCTCTCTCCAATGTGTAGGTTAGACTGGCAGCATGTCCCCCAGCAACTGAGGAGGTGGGTATCCCCCGAGGGCTCTAGTCCCCAACATCTATATACCAGGCTGGACCAATGGGACTGCTGTCTTGACATTTCACCACACCAGCCCTGGCTAGCTGCCAGGTCAGCTCATCAGCCCTCGTGATAGCACAGATGCCCTTCTCCTTTTACTCACTTCAGTGGCTGGCTCATGACAACAGAACAGCAGCCATGCCACCAAAATGCCATGTGCCACACACCCTGGCCAGCTTCTCTGTTTAGAAAGTAGCCCAATTCAACTTGTTTTGGTATGGAAGGTGGCTCATCCCACTTCCTCCCATTATTTGCACAATTTGGAACATCACCCTCTTGTTATCTAGCACTTGAAAAAATGGAAAGACATAATGATGCCTATAACTTAAATTTTTAATCAGAGTATGATATTTGCAGGAATAATGGACAATTTTATTTTTAAATAATTCTGTTCATAACATAATTTCCAGGCTATTTTTTTTACCTCTATGCTTATCATCTGAGATTAGGTTCACCCTTTAATGTTGTTGTTTGTATTATTCCTTTTATTATTAGTTACCATAATAAAATAACATCGAAAAATGTTTATGGTTTCATATAGACCAATAAACCTATGCTCATTTTTTCCTGCCACTTATGGCTAAAAAGACAATGTACTGTATGGTGTGGATTTGCTGCCTATGGATTATATTAGTGTAAGTGAATACTCACTCAGTGCACAAGGTCTGTAAGAATAAATACATGCACTCAAGCAGATGTGTAATAAAGGCAAAATATGCTAAATGCTTAATGGGAGAGGGCTTGTTATGTCTCTAATGGCACAATCAGTAGAGCAAAATGTGCCCAGGATACAATGGTTGAGGGAAATTATTTCTATTATTTATTCAGAGTTATTTTGGTCAAAGCACATGCTCATTACTGACACGGTGGGCTTATATTCTTCTGAAGCAAAATTCTTTAAATCTTTGTGGCACCAGAGCAATTTAGGAGGAAGAAGGAACAGTTTGTTGTGCATTGTACATATTTAATATGTACAACTTTACAATTGTGTCGAGGTTCCAGATGGCACCACTCTATGCTGCAGTGGTCAGAGCCACAGCTGGAATCCTGTGTCAGTCCTGGTTGCCATTATACAAAAAGACCTCTGCTCTCAGGATTCTCAAATTTGGCTTCATTAACTCACTTTTGAAAGTGCTACTTTTGTATATTCATATGTGCTTGCATTTGATTATGTCATTGGTTGTGCTTTATGAGGATGCAGCTTTGAACAGCTGTATAAATAATGAATAAATAAAATTAAAATTCTGAGGTGTAAAAGTTCTACCAGCTCTTAAGACTGGGGAAAGTGAAAGATGCTCAGTTAAAGACATTTATTGTGGTCGTGTATTTCTTTCCTTTACTTTCATACTAAAATTGCTGCTCATCATGGTAAAACTGAATCTGAAGAATGCAAGTTTACCATGAAGAAACAGAATGACATTGTTCTACTTAGTTTCACTTGCCGGTAAAGCAGCTAAGCAAATCACGGAAGCACTTTTTGTGATTTTGTTATAGTACCAACCAGAAGTTATGGCTTGTTTTCCTTCTAAAAGGGTAGAGTTGGATACCAAGGTTTGCTCTGGTGGATTCTTGGTAAGACCAAACCAGGGTTCCAGTTTCCATATGATGATAAAGAAACAAGAGGCTTATTTAGCTGTTCCTGCAGTTATTCTCAGCTGAACTGTCAGGCCCAAGGAACTCCAAGAGACAATGCAAATTCAGTCCAGCTATGTTTATTAGCTACAACCTCTAGCAAGAATCTT